CTTTCATTGTCTTGTGCCCAACTCCAGTTCTCAAGTGAATATAAACTTTTTCAATAGTTGATTGACAACAGCATTGCACCAAAGAATAATTCGATTTCTAAAAACTATTTTTGTTTTTTGTATTTGAAAATGCAAATTATTTTATTAAAGAATAAAATTTTTAGTTTCGAATAAACATCACAATATGAACAAAAATCTTATTCATAACTTTTATGAATTCACATTCTTAAATACACTACAACACAAATCAAATTTTTAATATAATTTGTACAAATATTACAAAAGCAAAAATACAACAAATCAAATTTACTCTGATCTTTATGTCACACGTTTTTGTTTTTTGTTATTTACTTATACACACTATATGAAATATACAAAAAGCTCTATAATACAAACTATAAACAATATACCACAAATAGATACTGGACTGTTTCAAAAGAGGAAAAATAAATGAAAATCACAATAGAAAACATATAAAATTAAGCATGTTACAAGTAATGAATAGAAATTATTTTTTTTTGTTTTTTACAATTCACTATAATATAAATTCGTATCACAAAAATAATGTTTTGATGTCATAAGAAATAGAAAGAAAAAAAAAATAATACAAATATATATATATATATATAAAAGAATTTAAACATAGAATTTTGTTGATAAATTATTCGATGATGATATTGAAAAATTATCATTATCATCATCATCATGAAATTTTAAATATGGTATTGAAAACCATTTCCATTGTTCATTAGGCCAAAAATATAAATGAAGATTTGCTTGAGGATTTTGATGTTTTACGGTTAAATAACAACAAATAACAATACCTTCATTACTACTAAATAAAACTAATACATGCCATAGAGCATGTAAATAAGGAAATGATATTGATAACCAATATGAACAAAACATTCGATCACATGTCCATACTATAAATGCAGTAATCCATATAATAAAACAATGAACACCAAGAGTTTTTACACGTGAATTATCACATCTAAAAACAAAAACAACACATAAAATGTAAAATATTGAAATTTTTTACCGTAAAATATGACGAATGATAAAGCCTGTGGAAGGTAAACCAAGCATCATTAGAGCAAAAGCATTTGCATATGGATGAACAATTGACAAACAAGTAATAATCAAAGCAAAAATAATACAAGCGTAAACAAATCGATGTCTAAATAAAACAAAATAAATGAAATCAACTAATAAGTTACATTCAATTTTGATTCATAAAGAAGAATTTTCTTCTGAATGAAAAAACCTAAACCAAATTTGCACCTATAGGTCTTTTGAGTCGAGTTATGATCGCTATACTGAACCTTCGATCTGAAATAAATATTTATTTAATGCATTTCAGCTGAAACTTTCAAGATATTCTAATGGTCATTAGACCTATCTCTGCGCATAAACTTCAGATCGAAATTTTGTTATGTGATTCTTCAGTAAATACCTAAAAATCAATCAAAAATTCAGTACAATGACCATAACTTGGCTCGAAAGGATTATAGAGATGAACAGTTTTAAGATTTTTCTAATCTTACCGAGACTTTCTGGTGATCTCATAGAGCTGGAATACCTCTCTTAGTCACTCTCAATATCAGAATGTCTGCATCATATAAATGATCGATTATCCTATGTTCACTACTCTTTATGTTGATATATTGGAAAAGATATTATTAATTGCAATCAGAGATGCCCATCACGGCTGAAAACTTGCCACTGCTGCGTCCCACCTAAAACTAGCTGTACCATGCCGCGATGCACTATAGAAAAAGCTGCTGCTGCCACGGTGTTTGTTAGAAAAATACTTTGAATTTCACGGTTGAGACTGCTTTGGATTAGAACTGTTGTCACTAACCGATGAAATTTGTTGAATCTAAGAGTGTTGGATCTGTGAATACTGACATTTTGTTCAAATTCAGGCGTGTTTGCGTCGTCCTCGAGAAAAAAGCTGCCATCACCGTGCCGTTGCCGCAATGATGTTGTTAAAATAACTCCTCCAATGCCACCTTCATGGACATCTCTAATTGCAACAGTATACTCGAAATAACTACAACAAACTACTGTATACTTAGTTAACATGATAAAGAAAAACAAAATTGAAAAGAATTTGAGAAAAAGAAAGAAAAATCATAAATACCGTTGAACACGAAATGATTGTGGTAAATAATTTTCGGGTAAAAATAGTGCATAACCAATCGTAAGTACCCAAAGAATTGATATTTCATCAATTAATTGTCCAACCTAAATAATTATCAAATTCGATTTCCTTTCTTTTTTTTTTATAACTTATTCTCAACATACAAGACTAAGTGTAGCATGAAAATAAACAGAACCAAAACCAATGATAATCAATAAAATCCAAAGAATTGCTATTCCATTTGCTACTCGTTTTGAATATGATCGAAAAAGAGAAATCATTAACGGTGGCACCAAAAAGAAGAAAATATTGGAAACCTTAAAAATATTCAAATTAATATGTCTAAAACTACAGTCTTGACAAATTTTCTATCAAAAAAAAAATATATATATATACAGCCAATTGGTTATAAATAGCAAACATGAGGGGGAAAAAATATAAATGAACATGCATTAATACATATAAAATATAGCAATCCCGAAACAGTGAAATTAAATAAATTACCTTTCATCCATCTATTTAGTATGTTAGCCAGCAATACAAATATAGTTAAATAACCGATTCAGCTGTTATTGTAGCCTGATTTAATTTTGCATAACAAAAAGGTGAGGAGAATAGGAAACTTTGGTTTTTTATCTTAATACTTACTGTATTCCAAAATTCAGCAATATGTTCACTAACGACATAATTTGGTTCACACCAATCGACTTTACTTGAACCAAGTCGAAATGGATTTTCATTCATATTATTTAAATTAACTTTAGATATACTTGTTTGTAAGATATATTTAAATCTAGAAATATAGATTTATTTATATTCATGTAAACAATCTTAGTTATTATGAAAAACAAAAAAATTACATATACATTTCTATACTCAATCTAGATGTTGATCTGTTATGATTGATTTGAACATTATGAAATCTCATAAATATCAACATTCACATACTCTTTATCGAGATCATTATGAACAGATTAGTTCGATTATAGTAATAATATTGAAAAAAAGAAGTACATCGATTTTTTTTTTCACTAGTTGTAGATTACAAAACTATTTAGAATGTAATAACTGACATGATGACTTTAAAATGTGGATTAAATATATCAAGCATGAGTATAAACACTACATTTAGGAGGTGATAAAGTGTAGATGTAAGCAAAATAAATATACAAGTTGGCTCAAATGACATGTGTGTTTATAAAAATGTCATAAGGATAAAAGTTCAAAAGTACGTTAAACACTCCGAGATACTGTATAGGTCATTTCTTGAATGAAATTTTCTCTACTTTAAAATTACTTACATCAATATATTATAAACATAATATTTACGAAGATAATTAAAAAAGAATCTCGAATTTATATACAAGTGAATTAAAAATATAATATAAATATGTTTGTAAAATATCCCATTTATTATTTTTTTGTTGTTGTTGTTGATGATATTCACATAAAAAGAAAAAAAAAACAAAACAAAAACAATTACACCAATATAATCTATATATTTGTGTATTGTGATTATTTGTTAATAAAAAGGGATTGGTGTTTTTTATTTTTTCATAATTTTCTTATTTTTTCTTTCTTTCTTTCGTTCCTTAAATATTCATTGGTTTTATTGTAAACCACCTCGTCGAGTATATCCACCTTGTTGTCGATCATGACCACTACGTTGATTTCCACCTGGTTGATTTTGTTGATCACTTGCTTCTTGTACGCCAACATTAGGTAATGATTTAAAATCGAATGCATTTAACATTTCCTTTGTATCTTGATCAATAGCAATCATTTGTTGTGGTTCAAGTGCTGATATTTCGGGTACATAATTATCACGTCGTTCACGTTCTTCTTCTTGAAGTTTAATTGATATACCACGTACAGGTCCAGCTTGAATACGTTTCATTAAATGTGTTATAAAACCAGCTATTTGATTACGAAGACGTTTTGTTGGTATAATAGCTATTTCTTCTACAACACGTTTATTTGTATGAAAATCAAGTGTTAATTTTGTATAATATTTTTCAATTATTTGACGTGATGCTTTTTTAACTGTTTTCGTACGAACACGACCCATTTTGTTTTTGTGATGTTAATTGATAGAGAAATTAACGACGAGATAATCTAAAAATAAAAGCGAGGGTATAAGACGCTGTTATATTCAAAAAAAAAAAAAAAAAATTTAATTTATATTTGAGATCATTCAGGTTTTTTTACAACTACTTTTATTTTCGGTTGTCGTTCATTAGGTTTAGCAGCATAATCAGATTCAGTATGAAATCGACAATGTTGACAATTATCAAATTCATTAGCTTCTGTTGTTTGATCATCATTTAATTGTGCATCATGTGGTTTTGTATATATACAACAACATTTTGATTTCTTTTTATTTAAATGTTCATTATCAATTGTTTCTTCTGTCCAACGAACACGAGGAGTTGTTTCATTTGAAGGATTTAATTCAAGTACAAGTGATGGAGGAGGATTTGTTCGTGTTACTTGACGTGTTTGAGTTTTTATAACTGTTGATGTTGAAGTTGCCATTTAAAAAAAAAAATTTTATCTAAAAATATAGAAAACAAAGATACTTAGAAATTCATAATAGTTGAGCAATTTTTTTTTCTCTTAATCTAATTATAAAGATCTTAGCTTTCTTCAATCATTCGACATTATTTTTCAAATCAAATAGTTATACCAAAGAAACAAAATTCTATATATATATATATATAAATCTATTTGCAAAAGAAACATACAATTGATTATGTTTACTATTTCAAATAACATCATCGGACACGAAACAAAGCAAAAAAAAAACACATATACATATCTGACATGAAAATCATAATTGATTATTGCAAACAAATCACACATACCAATCATAATAAGTTTCATTAAGTATTTTTCCATGACCAAGTGTTTGATATTTAATTGAACGTATACCATATTCATTTCCATTATTTGTTTGTTCAATATCAGCTAATATTGTTGTTGTTTGTCTTGTTGGACTTAAACGATCATATTGTAATTGTACACGTTGTTTCCAATGACTATAATCCATTGGACAAAGATTAGCAAGACCATTATAAATAATTAAACGATTATTTTGTCGACCAAATAAACCATTTTTATATTCAAGTTGAAATAAACCAGGACAATGATCACATAATAATCTTAATATTCTATCAAGCATACGTATTGTCCATGCATAACCATCATCAGCTAATTTTCGACATGATATATGACATTTTATTGTAAAATCATCAACATTCCATGGTATATATAAATAATAATGTTCATTAGATGTTTCTAATGAAAATTCTAATGCATATTGAGAATCATCATTTTGTATATGAAAAATTATAGAATTTGGTATCCAATAATGACGAAGAGCAATAAGACGTACTTGTTCAAATGCACGATAAGTTAATAGATGATTATGAGATTTATTTAAGAGACTAAAACTCATATCTTCAATATCAGACATCTGAAATTAGAAAAAAAACAATGATTTAAATAATTATCTTTACCGATGAAAAGGAAAACAAAACAATAAATATAGACGTTCTTTTAGTATTTCTATTTTTCGTTAACATGTTAGTTGCAATGCTAATATGTTCAAATCCATTGTATCCATTATTTTCTGATCATTAAAACAAAAATGAAAAAAGGAAAACTTTTCTTGGAAAAAGTCCAATTATCTATTTTCATATAGAGAACGAAAAAAAAAGCCAGAACACAAATAGATCAATCGCGTATTATAATAAAACACAAGAACAAATAAATGGCATGCATCTTCACAACAAATATACAAAAAAAAAATTTTTTTTTCTCTTTCTTTGATATTTTAATCTTTGACTAGAACAAAAGAAAGAACTAATAAATATATATATATATATCTCACTAATGATCTTTTGTTGTTAAACGATCAATTAATTCTTGTAATGGTGCTAATTCTTTTTTTTCAACTAATGAAAATTCTTGTATAAAATAAACAAAATGTTTAAATGATGTATTTAAATGTGCTTCTTCTTTAAGCATAACAACTTCTTTAAAATGTTGATGATATATATGTGCATAAACACGAAATAAACGTTTTAATATTGTTTTAGATATTAAAAGAAAATTTTTTGGAAATGGTACACCTATTTTTGATGGAAATATTAATTCATCATCAAGTTGATCTTGTACCCATGACATTAAATAATCAATGTAACGTGGTGCTGAACATTTTATAGGTTTTTTTATTGTTTGACCATCAGCCCAATGATATTCATATTTTGGTCCAGCTGTCATTAAAACACATGTTGTTTCTGTGCAAAATTCAGTTATTGTACCATAAAGCATATTTATTTGATTAAAAAAATCAACAACTAAAAAATGAAATAAAAAGTGAAATTAAACTAAAGAAAATCTCCTCCCAAGTAGTGAATCATTTTTTCTTTAGAAGAAAAGTACACGAGTGCATGCAGTTCATTCTACTTATCTCTATATCATAATTACCAATCCTTGTTTTGTTTTTTTACTCACAGGTGGATCGAAAGTTTTCTGACAAAATGTTTGCTCATTTGAAAGTATTTTTTGACGAGTCGAAATCCTATTTCGTTAGGCAAGGTACCTTAATTTTCGTGTTTCCTACATTCTCATCTTCGAGAAATCAACTTTTTAACCAAAAGATATTTTATAAGAGAAAAGGAGTTTCTGACAAAATACGTATAACTTCACTTATGTAAAATCAATTCAATATCACATTTTGTAAAGTGTCCGATAAATTTTAGCATCTTCATAAAAATCTGTTTATACGTCGTCCAAAGTAATTTATAAGACCTTTCAAAGATTTCGTTACTACTCTCGAACAAAAACAGATACAAAATTTCTAAGCTCATATTCAAAAAGAGCACAAAATTCTGGTTCTAATTCATAGATTTTAACTAGTCTAAAAATACTTTCAAATGGACCAAAAATATTTTTTTTATAAACATAAAGAGGAAACCTCACCTAGCTTGAAAATCGCTTTTATGTTCAGACTCTATGCATAAGGAAGACATTCTCTACATTATTATCGTCGTTTTATTGAAATTTTCCCTACAAGTAGGCAAAATTTCAGTAAAATAGCTATAGCCGAGGAGTCCTCATTCTTTTGGAGCTTTTAATACTTCATTGGAATCTACCTAATGCACAGAATTCGAACTCAAAAATGATTGTCAACTTGAAATAGTTCCTTTGTAAGACGTACTGTAAAACAGAGAAAGACTAAGTATGATTTTTTTTACAAAATGATTGTTCATTTTAGTCTGTTCGAAAGTATTTCAGTATAGATCACAAGCAGAATTTGAATATGGACTTAAAAATATTATATCTATTTTTGTTCGAGAGAGTATTTGAAAAGCCTATTTCTAATAGTAAGTCAACAGATTTTTGTTTACACGAAAAAGTTTCTTTTCGAATGTACTAAAAATTATTGAAGTCGATCGTTTTGTAAAGCGAATACTTCTCTATAAAATGTGATATTGAACTCAGCTGTAACATTTACTTAAGTATTCTTTTTAAGAATTTATTTCAACGTAAAACGGTTGTTGACTTTTCAAAAATGAGTATTTAGAAAAAATGAAAATTGTTTACAAGCTGATATATATATATCAATAAAGATCCTAAATTTTAGTGAACTGCATACAATCATGTATTTTTGAGAAAAGAGATTCACTACATGAAAGATTTCATTGATGAGATTTATTTACTATTAACAGCAATCCATTCATTAAGATCTTCTCCTTCGGGTAATTGTACAGCTAAACGTAAATTTCCACTTCCTAAAGTATTTTGTGCATGCTTCATTAAATCATGTTGTTTTGTACCTATAATAAAAAGAAAGAAAATAAATTTTAAGAAAATTAAATACGAGATAAATACCTTCTGGTATATTTCGATGAGGTTTAAATGTACGTTGTTGACGACTAGAAAACATAAAAAATTTATTTTTTTTTTGATATTTTTTTTCAATAATAACATACAATAAAAAATTCATTTTAGAGTCTCCTCATGGGAGATTGAAATATAAAAATATCATTTCATTACATTGATTCAATCGATGAAAATGTTTTAGATATAAATAAAAACAAATTCTTGTTTTAATCATGCCATCTATTTATTCATTTTTTTATCCTTATTTTACCATTAATGTTTATTTTATCTGTCCTCTCTATTTTTGCTATTTTTTTTAAACAATTAGTGACATCTATTTATGAAAAATATAGATGATGGTTGTATCTAAGCAATCAAAAATGGCTTATAAATCATCGTGATGTATTAATCTTAACCAATAATCAAAGCCATTACTCTTCAACACATGGGTATACTTGATTCATTAATTGAATGGCTTGGTCTTCGTCGACGAGTAGTTAATGTATTAGTTGTTGGTCTTGACAATAGTGGTAAATCATCACTTTTAAATTTTTTACGTCCACGTGAAGCTCAAACTGATGATAGAACGCCAACAGTTGGTTTTAATGTTGAACATTTTTCATATAATGGACTTTCATTTTCTGCATTTGATATGAGTGGACAAAGTCGTTATAGAACATTATGGGGAAATTATTATCGTTCAACAAATGGTATTATATTTGTAATTGATAGTTCAGATAAAGGACGTATTCTTATTGCTCGTGAAGAACTTCAACAATTACTTTCACATCCAGATATATCAAAACGTAATATTCCTATTTTATTTTTTGCTAATAAAATGGATATACGTGATGCATTATCAGATGTAGGTGTATCATCTGCATTAACACTTGAAAATATTATAAATAAATCTTGGTATATATGTTCAAGTAATGCACTTACAGGAGAAGGTGTTGTTACTGGTATTGAATGGTTGAGTTCAGCAATTAAAACTTCATTCGAGCAAGGAAAAAACTAAATAATCTAGATTTATTTTCTGTAGTTATAATAATTATGTGCAATTTTATATCTCAAAATTTATCTTTTGAGAAATATAAAATAGCGCTTTTATTTTTGATAATATAATGAGAAAAAATTTGTTCCACAAATGTTTGGTGTTGTAATTAATTATTTCGTAAATGAAAAAACAAATATAAACTATGGCTTTAAAACTTCGATATGAATTCAATGGATAATTATATTGATTCAATTATTAATGAAGTACAGTAAAGGTCAATTGAATGTCTCTCTTTTGTTTTTGTTTTTTTGTTATTGTGTCTTGTTTTGTTTTCGTTTTTAAACATATAATATTATATGACAAGAAAGTGCGAAATGCACTGCATTTTTGTGTTATATTCTTCTTGAACAACAACAAATATAGTTCAGAGCATAACACCTGTATGAGAGAAAAAAAAAGAGTAATGCTATTTATACAACGTATGTTTTCATTTGAATCATAATAAAGAAAATCTATAGGCATATCATAATGATCAATCGTCATATACATAAATTTTATACAGAAGTTTATGATATATTCGACTAATTTCTTTATTTCAAAGTAAATGAAACATTTGCAATTATAGTCACTAGAAGTCTATTATTGTTTATATGTATGCACTTATGAATAAGATCTAAATATTGATAAATAAATAAATTAGAAAAAGGAAAAGATCTAATACGACATTCATTTGTGCATATCAACATAGATGACAATTAAGATATTTTCCAACTTTTCATAGACAAAAATAATCTTCATATTATTTTATTATTTCGATTATATTCTTAAATAGAGCCCTACATAAATATAAGCTGTGTACTAATACGCTTTTTGTTATGATACAGTTATTATGTTTTATATTTTATTCCTTTTTCAAGGAGAATGTGTATTATAAGATGCAGCATATCTCGTTGTTTCTTATTACGCATAATATTTTAAAGTAAACAAAATATGTGCAAAAAAAAACAGGGAAAAGGGGGGAGGCAATTCAACTGGCCCTCACTATCATCGATGATAAAGAACTGCTCTTGTTTTTGCATATGAAGGGCAAGTCACGAAAAGCAAATTGTAAAATCTACATGCTTCAACGAAGGAAAAAGAAGTATTTTTAGTAACCCATGAAATTTTTATAAAGAACGGAATTGCAATCTCTATGGTTGCTTTTCATTGATGCAAATATTTGTTTAATGTCAACTACGCAGTAGTCATGTGTTTTCTTCCTCTGTTTTTCTCTTCCTTGCATCAGGTAATGGTAAAACAAGGTGGTGGTTACATTCTAATGGTGCAATACATTTCACGAGTATAAATATATTGCATTTTGCTTTTATTTTTCCATCTCATCTTCAACAGGGGAAAAACGTGCTTCATTGCGTTCGTCCTCTCGAGATCGACTACCGCTTACTTCGATAATTAAACTAATGCTATCAGAAGTAATTCGATAACAATACGCGGTGTCGCCAATGACTGGATGATCTTTTAAGATTCATTTTGGTTCGTTGGAGGTGACACCGCTTCTTTATTTTCTATCAATTCTTTCTTTTTTCTTCCGGATTGACAGGCCCACTTCAATGCCATTCTATCTTCAAATAGCGGCTACGCAATCGACTCTTCTAGAGACGTTCGACTCTTTTAGAGACGCTCGACACATTTATGTGTCTGTTGTGGTGGAGATAAAATTGTTGTTATTGAAGTGGTTACCTGCCAGTCCACTGTTGTGATTT